TGGCATTACAAGTGTACATCACGTCACCTGATTCTCCCTGCCTGAGTATGTCACTCACTTTATTTCGATTTTAGACAAAGCAATCTGGATGAGTGTTGAACTTGGAGAAATTCATATCATTTAAATCTCTCACTGTCAGCCAAGTGTGCTTTCTAATCTCAGTACTTTGGGAAACTGAGGCAGGAGGATTGCAAGTTCAAGCCCAGCTTGACCACTTACTGATTTAGAAAGACTCTGTTTCAAAGTAAAAATTAAAAAGGGGAGGGATGTAGCTCAGTTCCAAGGTCTGAGTTCAATCTCCACAACTATTCAAAAAACAGGAAACTTCATTCTTGATACGTGACTTAATTTTTTTTTTTTTTTTGTGTGTGTGTGTGTGTGATGGGAATTGAACCCAGGCTTTGCTTTGCACATGCTGGGCAAACACTCTAGCACTGACTTGTCTCTGGCTTTTTTTTTTTTTTTTTTTTTTTTGGTACTGGGGATCGAATTCACAACCTTGCGTTTTTGCCAGGCAGGTGCTTACACCACAGAGCTAAATCTCTAGCCCTGCATCCAGCTTGAAAAAAAAAAAAAAAAAAAAGACAGTCTCACTAAACTGCACTGGCTGGCTTCAAATTTGCCTCAGCCTCTGGGATAGCTAGGATTACAGGTGCACGCTGCTATGCTGGGTTTCTAAATCTCCTTTTAAGGGCTCACCACTTAATTATATCATCTCAGGGATCAGGTCCCCACACACACTTTGGGAGCCAGTACTGACAGTAGCAATTTCCTATCTTCTTTATCTGGGCTCCACTTAATCAAATTTTGGCCTTTGGATTAGCTCTCTACATTTCCTACCATTCCCCCTTTTCTTTTTTTTAAATAATTTTTTGTTTGCTTTGCTTTTTTGAGATAGGGTCTCATATGCAGATCAGGCTGGCCTTGAACTCACTGCGCAGTCCAGACTGGCTTGGAACTTTTAGTGCTCCTCCTGCCTCAGCCTCCTGAATGTTGGGCTCACAGGTGTGGACCACCACTCGGCGTCTCCCTTCTTTGTGGCTTTACTTTCTCAGAGATTCCCTTGACTTTGATGCTCTAATTCTATAATTATTTACTCAAACTGACAATTTTTGAGTCCTTTTTTCTCATTCTTCCTTTTTAAAATAATATCCTTTATGGATTCAATATATCTCCTATCCAAGAATACTAATCAAAGTGAGTTTGGTTTTTTCTTTTAGTTTTCTGCAGTTTCTTTTCTGCCTTACATTTTTTTTTTTCTGTTTGTTAGCTGTTTTACTCATCTTTGTTAACATATAAAAGCCAAGTATCTGGTCATGTGCAAATACCTGTTAAGCTGGTGTCGGGCATGTGATTTGTGTTTAGTTTTTCTGTGTGCTTGTATGAGCTGGCCTCTCGGTGACTGTCCTTGTGACGGGATTTGGAAGGTGGGTCTCTTCCCTTGGGTCAGTCTCTGGAGGACAGTTTCCTTGTCTTCTGTCCGGGAACTCGCAGAACTCTGCAACTGGGGAAGGGAGGGGAGGAAGGCGCTGAGGAGCCTGGTGTTCTATACACAAATTTTTTCTGCCTGTCACCTTGACTGGCCGCTTCAAGTCTGAGCTCTTAAAGGACCATTATGCACATAAGCTCAAGGAGGGTGGCATTGAGGCCAGTTAGGGGTCCATGATGTCCTGCACAGGCTTCTGTCAACTCTCTCATAGCACACTGAAGAAATGCAGTTTCCAGGAATGGCCACAAGTTGGCGCAGTGACTCTACAGCTCTTTTATAGTTTTTTTCCCTACAGTAGTGACAGTCAACAGTTGAGTTGAAATGACTGAATTAATCCAGCAAGGGGGCCACAGAATCTCAGAACATCTCCACTACACAGGGTCTTGTAGGGCTTTCCATCCACTCCGTAGTGACAAGGAACTGGGGCCCCACAGCAGAGGCTGTTATCCAGTATCTGGTTGTAGTTGGTAGAAACTCCCTGGGTTTGTATTTTGGATTATTTTAGAAACTTGGAATAGGCCAGGTAGAGTGGTGCATGCTTGTAATGCCCATACTCCTGGGGGCTGAGGTAGGAGGACTGCAAGTTTGAGCCCAGCCTAGGCAAGAGGGGAGCAGAGTTGAGGATTTCGCTCAGCACCCTTGGTTTTAATCCTAAACAGTGTGGGGGTGTGTGTGTGTGGGGGGGGGGGCTTCATAATTGAAGTTGCCTTTAAATTGGAATATGAGCCAGGCACAGTAGCATATGCCTGTAGTTTCAGATACTTGGAGATGCTGAACAGATCCCATTAAGCCCAGGAATTCCAGGCCAGCCTGGGCAACAGAGACCCTATCACACACACACACACACACACACACACACAAAGCCATTGACACAGCACCCAGGTTGAGGCAAAAGTATCCCAAGTTAGAGGCTAGTCTGCCAAATTCAGCAAGACCCTGTCTCAATATAAAATAAATAAAAAATAAAGGACTAGGGATGTAGCTCATTGCTTCTTAGATTCATTCCCCAGTACTGAAAAAAATATATAAACTATAAATTAGCGATATATATATATTTTTAATGTGAATGCATATTCAGGCATGGTGAAGCACTCCTGTAAATCCCAGAATTCTTGGGAAGACGGCAGAGGCCATCTCCCTGCTGAGGCAGGAGGCAGCGGGTTGACCTTTGAGGGACACTGCAGCTGGCCCTACTTCATTTATAATGTAAGCAGGAGTCTCCAAGTTCACGTGTGAGAGAGAGAGAGAGAGAGAGACACACACACACAGACAGACTGGGGGTTGAACCCAGGATTCTCAGTGAACTGCATCCTCAATTCTCGGTTTTTTTGAGACAGGTTCTACACCACTGAGTTCCCGAGGTTAGACTCAAACTTGCCTCAGCTTCCCAGGGTGCTCAGATTACAGCAGCGCATCACCTTCCCTGGCCACCAAGCACTTTTTTACATTCTTGTTTGAGACAGGGTCCTGCTGTACAGTCCAGGCCAGCCTTCAACTATGTGGCCCAGGCTGAGCTCTGCCTCCCAAATGCTGGGATTACAAGATTGTGTACCACGCCCAGCTTTCATACCCTAATAAATGTCCTCCACCGATGAAATCAGCCAGAGTTGGTTTTCACGGCTTACAGTGTTACTTTAGCCAAAGGACCGTAAAAGATAGTGGGTCAAGCGGGAAACCAGCCGTGTAGTACCAAACTGGAGTAGGGACAACCTCAGGAGGCCCTGAGCTGCTGCAAGAAAACTCAGCAGGCCGCAGTGGCTGAGGAAAAAGACCCATCAGCTGGGGAGGTCTTTGGGCTGAGCGCTCAGAAAATACAAATCACATGCAGGCTAGAACTTAAACTTGGAAAGATGGTCCTTATCCTGAGAGTCAATCTGTCAGCAATTCTCATTGGTGGTCTCTTCTAGGGCACACTTCAGTGGTGTGAGGATGGGGCTGCAGCAGGAGGGCTCGCAGCCAGTTAGCCACTTGTGCACCAGGTCTCCCTGGAGACAGCCTGTCACCTGACTCACCCCACCATAAAGGGGCCACAGTGGACACTGCAGGCCCTGCACAGTGCACAGGTGGAATGGCCTCTCCTGGGAGTCCCACCATTTCCCAGGCATGATCACCCTGCTCCCTGCACCTCTAGTGTCTAAAGTGAATGACCTCCTATGTTAACACTAAAACCCTCCACCTTAAACACTAACAACCACTCAGCAGCTCATCCAAAGACCAAGTGAGATGCTTTCAGTCTGGATTTTTTTTTTGGGGGGGTGGGTGTCTTTTTATCAGTACCAGGGATTGAACACACATTTGCAAGGCAGGCACTTATGCCACTGAGCTAAACCCCCAGCTCTGAGATAAGGCTTATCACTCTTTGATTTACTTTCCTTACTTTCCTGTTCTAATTACTCGCAACAGGAAGGCATGGCCTCCCTTCGCCGTGGTGCTAGGAATCTGCACCGCTGGGTCCCCACACTACTTTGCTTGCAGTCGTCAGGCTCCTGCACCAGTCATGTATTACAGATTATCTTGTCGGCCAAGAAGGCTGCCACATCCTCAGCAGCCCCCCCATCTCTACCCTACTGTTTTAATCACTGGTGCTCACTGTTTTAAAGTCCACCTGGACCACAGCTCCAGAAAACCAAAACGGGACCTGTGACCAACCACAGGCTTGTTAACGTCCAGCCAAAGGATGGTCTGAGCAAGAATGCATAGGATTACCAAGTGGTGAAAGGTAATGCACATCTTCAAGTGAGAGACTGTGTCTCATGCAGTTTTAGGCAGGCCTTAACTCCCAATGGTCCTCCACCTCCGCCTGGAGTGCTGGATGACAAGGGTGCACTACCACGCCTAGGGAATTACTTTTGCTGAACAGGTCACAAATTCAAGGTCAGAACTTACCTGTTTTTCTCTGCCAATCTCAAAGGTGGAATTACAGGCCTCACCCTAGACACACAACAGACAGGTGGGGTGAGGAAGGGGGACGTGACAATATTAAAAATACTTCAGGTGATTCTCACAAACACGGCAGTCTCCTAAGCGCTGTCCTTCTAGCAGAGATAATCTTACCAACAAATATTTGTCTTTGTTAAATGGTGAGACCTTAAGATAGTTATTAAACCTTTGCCAATGGCCAAAACTGTTGTTATGGTTCCCCCAGCAGTAGGAAATCCTTTACACTTTGAAGAAATCAGCCACTGCCAAAATAAGCACCCACCCTCTGGTCTGGCCAGTCTACTCTACCCTGTACCTCAGCTGCAACCGCCCTGTGGCACATCAGTGTTAGGTGGAGGCGGCTGACTTCTATTTTTATATCAGGTGGCTCTGCTTTAGAGTTCTCGCAATCCTGTTTATTTGTACAGTCCCTTACTAAACACAGTTCTTGAAATTGCCTTGTTGGCCTCCATAGGCTGAAAAAAATTAATTCCTTCTATTTTTAAACTTTTAAAATAAAAATATTGTCTGCTACTATACAATTTTCAGAAGAAATCCAACTCCATGAATAAATGAAAACCAAGCCACACAGTTGGAAATCAAGTTTTGTTTTTATATGAATAGAAGTAGACCATCTAGAAATATTTCCGTTTATTTAAATTGTTAAGGATATATGAAACCGAATTCGTAGCTAGTACCAGAGAATGGACTCAAACTGTTTGGTGTTTAATGAGAACAGCGTCTACATAGGATCCCGAGACTTACAGAAACGGGGCAAAGCCCTACTATTAAGCAAATAAAATTCATGTTTTAAACAGATGATACAAAAATTGATTTATACTCCATTTCCCTTTTTTGATATTTAGAAAGTGCAGATTTAACAAAAGGTAGCCATATCCTTTCTATGTACAATGCCGATTATAATTATGCAAACAAGAAAACTGTCAGTCTGTTACCTAAAAATCCCAGTGTTTAGCTCTCAAACCTTAAGTCACTGAATTGAATAAGGATTAAAGAGGGTTAAAAGTTAAAAAAAGAGATACTGCCATATTCCAGATAAAGGGTAGCAACAAATACATTAACCACAGTAGATTTAACCTAAAACTTAACAAAAAGCTTTCATTTTTTTAGTGGAAAATTAGCAATTATTTGGCAATGCTGCTTTTTACTAGTAAACAATGATAAAGTCAAGTGAAGGAAAGACCTAAGAACAACAACCACCAGTGAGGCATATAAAATTTTTAGGGCACTATCTGAAAAATTCGTGGATTTTCATACCACATATGTCCCTGTGGTGTTTATGTGAGCCAAGAGGTCATTAAAATGTGTGTCACAACACAGAGAGACTTTTCAATGGAAGCTGCTGTCCTAAACTCAGCCTCTGCTCGAAATGAATCATGCTATTCACAATTATTTCAACAAAGGTATCATCTTAGGATGCTAGCAGCATAGCAAACTTAACCTACCCTATCCTAGTGATAAGCAATGAAGCAAAACTAGAAAGACGAAGCGAAGGACAGGGCTAGAAACAGCTAGAGATCTTTCTTGTCCTTCTAAATCCATGGTAATACAAGTTTCCCAAGAGGATGTCAAGATAGTACTTAAAATTAGTAATATTTTGAAGTATCTCTAAATCTTAAGGTAAAGACAACACTGAAAAAGTGTTCTTCAGAGGCCAAATCTCACTACATTTGGCAAACATGTTAACAAAATCCAATCCTCCTTCCTGTTTTGTTTTTAAATTTAAACAGTCTTCACTGGGCTACCTGACTGACAGAGGAGTTGCCAAAATGGAGACTACTCAAATTTAGGGTAAGAGACTTATTCTAGGAAAGTGAAGAGGATACACACCTAATTAGAAAGACAAACCACAATACCCTCCGAACACTAGTGCATGCAATTAGCTCTTCCATTTCATAAACTCGATGGATAGATAGCAAGAGAACAAAGGGAAGAACACAGAGTCAAAACAGAATAAAGGATCAGGGCACAGGTTTTTGGAAGAGAGTAATGAGGGAAGACATCAATTAACTGACGTGGACAGCAGGTAGTTAGAATCTGTCTTTTAGTTTACTTAAGCAAGTTACATCAGTGCTTTATGTTAAACCTGACAAACCTACTAGTTTGCCCCTTTCATTTCTAAATAACTCACACCGCAAGGTGGTGGGAAGGAGAAGCAAATAAAGGGGCATGCAGGAGATGAGCCACGCGGAGAAAGCGGCCACGGAGAACTGGCGGGCGAACAGTCGGAAGTGTCAAGGCCACTGAACACAAGAGTCAGCAAACCAAAGCTATCATGTCTGCATTACGCTTTGTCCTCAGTTAACGACTATGAAAATTACAGCCAAGCAAACCACAAATATTTTAACGGGTTATGTTTGGATGATATGTCTCCTGCACATGCTTCCACCAAAACGAAAAAGGAAAAACCAAGTAAGTTCCTTTCCACATAAGGCACAGGACAAAATTAACCCCATTTACATATTCGAGGCGAAAATGAGTGTTTTCCTGGCTTCTGTTTGTTTCTTTTGCTATCACATCTATAGATTAGAGACTCAAGCACATTATCCATGACAGAAAATTCCACTGTTGTACAAAATAAAATTGTTAATTCTAACTTTTATTCTTATACAATTTGCAGAATAGAATTAAAATGATTGCTATACGTTTTAATGTTGATAAGAACTGGACTATAATACAACTGAAATGCAGTGGTGAGCTGAGCAAGTACATTTAAAATGAGTCACAGACATGATTTCTCTATACATTTTTTTGTTTGAAGAAAAATTATAATAATAAAGTCAGCAAGCAGTCACAGATGAAAGAACAAATAGAATAGGAGGACGGGATAGTTAGGATGAGGAACAAAAGTATCTGTTTAGAGTTAAAAATGGACAGAGTGGTTTATTTGCAGCGAAAAGAGAAACAGGTGGTGGATGGCAACGGATGGAACAGGAGAACGCTCAGCAACATTTGCTCTTCCAGCCCGTGACGCCGCCTCCACTGCTGATATCTACATTTTCACTGTTGGGCTCTTTTACGGGGGTCTGGAATAAACACATAAGCAAAGTAACTCATGAAAAACACATTGCCACTGTAAGTCAAGATTCAACAGCAACATTCTTATTAAGGTCAAAGTACACAAAAGGAGGAGCTACCGTCACCTGAGTTAGGCCTTACCCCACGCAGGCAGACTTGGAAGCCGCTTCTGATCTTCATTTAGCCTGCTTTCTCCAAGCTGTGACGTGTTACACACACTTCCTGGCAGCCCTTACTAAAGCTTCTGAAACCACGTCTGTGCCTAATCTCAGTAGATTTTTTCATCACTTAAGTTTTGACCACTGAATACGCTTAGTATTACCAAAAAACAAAACAAAACAAAAAAACCCCCAAACCATTATCAAGCAAGTTGTAGTATAAAAGCTAATGTAGGGTCCTATCTTTTTTTTTTCCCGTGGCACTGGAGATTGAACTCAAGGCCTTACACATGCAAGGCAAGTGCTCTACCACAAGCCACATTCCCAGCCCTAACTTTATTTTTTAATCCTTATTTTTTATTAGTACATGTTGGCCATACCTGATGATCACAATCATCACAGGAAATTTGTGTCAGTATATAATATACCTTATTTCTTTTTTTTTCTCATTCCCTTTTCTCCCTCTTCCTCCATTTAGAAAATCTCTGCTGCCAATTTTTCCCTTTCCACTCTCGTAATTTAAAATCCTTCCCTTCCCGTCTCTCCTGTTCCTCTTCCTATTTGAACAAGTTTTGTTTTTTTTAATCTTCCTAATGTCTATCTTTCTCCATTTGGCTCCTTATTTATACTGGGTTTCTTACACAAGAGAAAGAATGCAACATTTAAACGTGGGTGTCTGACTTAAGATTACAACTTAAAATCAAGTTCTCCTAAGTAATTAGTCCAAATTATATTAAAGGCTCTTTGGAAATTTATGTAAATTTTGCTGGATTTAAATACTATAATAAATTTAAGGCCTTAAGGGAAATTCTATTTTTAAATTTATAATCTTAATAAGTGAAAATTTGAAATTTAAGCCCAAATTAATGAAAATTATTTCTGTACACAAAAACTGCCCTTTGACATTAAATAAATCTCAAATAGGATTAAAATAATAAAGCGGATGGCCAAGGATAAAACTCAGTGGCAGAAGTGACTGCCTGGTAAGGGCAAGGTCCTGAGTTCAATTCCTACTACAAAAAAGAAAAAAAAAGATTATAGAGATGCATCCGTTTACTTAGAAATATCTCAATTCTATCCTTCATGGCAAAGTAGTACTCCACTGTTATATACAAACATCACATTTACACATATTTTTAATCCATTCACCTGTTATGCCTTGATCCTAGCCCCGAGAACAGTGACTGAGAACAGAAAGCCTGTTTTTCTTGGTTTTGTTTTTTGGGGTTTTTTTTTTTTTTTGGTTGTTGTTGTTTTGTTTTGTCATTTTCATTTTTATCGGTACCAGGGATCGAACTCACGACCGCCTGCTTGCAAGGCAGGTGCTTATGCCGCTGAGCTAAACCCCCAGCCCCTGGTTTTTTTTGTACCAGAAATTTAACTCAGGACCTTGCGCTTGCCAGGTAGGCACTTATGTGCTGAGCTATATCCCTGGCCCTTTGTTTATCTGTTGATGAACATATGATCTGTTTCTAAAATTGAGCTATTATAAATTGTGCTGCTATATCACTGTAGAATGTGTTAACTATTTTGGGAAGATACTAGATGGTCAGATGGATAAAACTAATTTCAGTTTTTCGAGGAGTTTCCATACTGATTTCCACAATGGTTATACCAGTTTATATTTCCACCAACAATGAAGAAGGGATTTATTTGTTATTGATTTCTTGAGGACAGCCATTCTTTCTGGAGTAAGATGGAATTTCAGTGTTGTTCTAATTTGTATTTCTTAAATAACTAGAAAGGGTACTTTAAAGAACTAAAATCTTTTCTTTGTTTATAGTTACTTGCCTTTCTAGGCTAAAGCTTGTATACTGCAATATTGCTTTAAAAAGGCAAACAACTACATTTAAATGAAAAAGAATGAGCAAAATGCAAAATTACATAACGGGAAATAGATATAGAAAAATATCTTCAAGTCAGAATTACTTACTTTACTATTAAAATCGGAAAAATTATGCTATTTCAAATCAGTAGCCCTGCACTATATTATGAAAAAACTCTCTGCATACTAATTTACATGCAGAAAAGTACACAAATCTGACGTGTATAGCCTAATGAGTTTTTAGCATACATACTCTGTGAAATCACCAGATAAGGATGTGGGACATAATACCACCACAAAGGCCTTCCCTGTCCTTTCCAGCGTCTTAAAGCCAAGTCCTGATTTCAACTATCACAGGAAAGCTTTTTCTACCCTTTCCCTTTATATACCCGGAACTCAATTTAACATCTTCGCCATTTGACCTCTTTTACTAAGTATTACTTATGAGATTTATCCAGTACATCATTATAAATGGAATTTAAAAGGCTATGATTTACCCAACAACTTATTCTATCATGAATACAATATAAAGTCTTGGGTGGGCCAAGGGGGGAATTAAAATATTCTAAAAAGTCCAAAGGTCCCAGAGAAGTCCACCTTTACAAACTTCAACTTGCCCCTAGAGCTTGGCCTACTCACTGCCTCATGGTACGGGCTTTTCCTCCTCTTAAATCTTAAGGCAACCTAATTACACACTAAAAAGACCCTTGTGAGCTTTCCTGAACAAGTGATTTTGCTATTAATACAAACCTGAGAAAAATATAATAGTGAAGAGGTAGCTTGGCATCCAGTGAAGAGCAAGAACAGCTGCACAGGAACCTCACTTTCTCTGGGAACTTTCAGGGATGGGTCAGACAAAAGATACATAGATACTGACAACCAGGAAGGCCCCCTACATGTACTGACTCTTAGCACCTTGCTTGTTACTTTTTTTTTTTAATGGTACCGGGGATCGAACTCACGACCGCGCGCTTGCAAGGCAGGCGCTTATGCGGCTGAGCTAAATCCTCAGCCCCCAAGCATTTTGCAATCTATCATTTTACAAGTTAAATGATATCTTTGAAATACATTTCCAAAAAAAAAAAAAAAAAAAAAGACATTTAAAATCTGATTTAAGCTTATTAAATACATTTTTAGGCTGGCTTCTAGCTAGAAAAAGACAAGCCTAACAGGTGGGGAAAGGAATAAAAAAAATATATAGAAAACAATGCAAAGTGATTCTTAGCAAGGTCCTTGATTCAACTGCCTACACCAGGAATAAAAACATGTTACTCATGAAAAGGCAGGGAGAATAAGAATATTTACTTGGGGGCTGGGGATTTAGCTCAGTGGCATAAGCACCGGCCTTGCAAGCAGGCAGTTGTGAGTTCGAGCCTTGGTACTAATAAAAATGACAAAGACCAAAAAAAAAAAAAAAAAAGGAATGTATATTTATATCTACTCATAGCAATAATTAAGACATCCCTTACACTGATCACTATGGGACAGGGACGAGAAAACAACAGCTGCAGCATTAAGGCAGTGACATGCAAAACTTCCTTTTACCTTACTTTTTCCATTGTAAATGTTTGAATCATGAAAGTGAATCACCTAACCAAATAAGTCTAAAAAAGTCTTAAATTCCTTTCACTCTGAAGTTAATTCTTTTTTTTTTTTAATTGGTCTTTTTCCTTTTTATCGGTACCGGGGATCGAACTCACAACTGTCTGGTGCAAAGCAGGCGCTTATGCAGCTGAGCTAAATCCCCAGGCCCATTCTGAAGTTAATTCTAATATGAAACAAGTTTATGTTTAATATCACATTGAAATGTAAGACATATTAAAAAACACACTACAGGGGCTGGGAATTCAGCTCAGTGGCATAAGCACCTGTCGTGCAAGCAAGGCAGTCGTGAGTTCGATCCCCGGTACCAATAAAAATGAAAAAAGACAAAAAACAAAAAACAAAAAACCACACACACTACACTACAGTCTCCTTCGTGGGCCTGCTGACCTGGGGAAGACTTCAGAATGAAACTGTTACTCACTGGCACATCCGTACTTTAATCTCAAAGGAGCCCTGCCTCAATGACTAATAATACTACTTACAAATGACTAATGACACTGTTAAAAAAAAAGGTCAACACTGGAAGATCAAATCATACAGTGTAAGTAGAAAGCAGAAGCTGTACCCAGAGAGGCTGAGACAGGAGAAATGAGTTCAAGGCCAGCCTGGGCTGCACAGTGAGTTCAAGGCCAGTCTGAATTACATAGCAAGGCTGTCTCTTTTTGTTTTGTTTGACAAAAAAACCTAAACAGTAAGGGTTTCATTAACTTTTGTATTGGCTCTTGTGGGTCATATCCTGGCCTGGTCTTTAATTAGACTGTGAGTCTGGCATACTTTTTCATCCTGATTCATCAATCTCTGAATTTTATCTTTACCCCCTTGAGGGTTTTTTTTTTTTTTTTTTTTGGCGGCGGGGGTGGGTGGGGGGGTGGGTGGTGGTGGTGGTGTCCAGGGTCTCACTATTCAGGTCAGGCTGACCTTGAGCTCACTTTGTAGCCCAGGCTGGTCTTGAACACCCAACAATCCTCCTGTCTCAGTCTCCTGAGTGCTGGGATTACAGACGTGCATCACCACGGCAGGCAACTACTTATTAAATAACATTTTTAAATTTTCAAAGTTGATTTTTATAATTAAAAAAATGCAAAAACATTAAAATTTCAAAGCAAAGCTATCTATAAAGGACAGAGTCTGTGAGTGAGTCTGTTCCATGGCTCCTGAGTTATCATTTGTCACTCACTTGACGTACTCTCTATTCAGTTTAGATCCTTCCAGTTTTGTTTGCTGAACATAACCAAAGGTGTGTGTGTTGTGTGCGTGCACACATGCTCCATCAGTATCACACACTTAAAAATGAAGTATTGTGGGGCTGGGGATTTAGCTCAGCGGCATAAGCGCCTGCCTTGTAAGCAGGTGGTCGTGAGTTCGATCCCTGGTACCGATAAAAAGGAAAAAGACCAAAAAAAAAAAAAAAAAAAGAGGTATTGTATCTTACCTTGCTTTTTAATCACTCAATGTACTATAAATATCCTTTGTATTTTTAACTGGGCGAATGCTCCTGCACTGTCTGAAATCCTTTTGACTGACTGTGGTATGGATTGAAACCATATGCTAGGCAAACTTTCTACTGCTGAACTAACTATACTCTCAGTATCCAAAGCAATTTCTGATCTGACACAAACAATCCTCACAGGAAAACATCTCCTGCTTCAGTCACTTCCCAAGCACGATAATCAGGACATTGAGAGACTTGGAAAGGTCCACTGTAGTCCGTCCCCTTGAATAACAGTGACTGATAACTGTCTTTTTCAGTTTGAATATCCAATTGCAGCTAACAAATATCATCATTTCACTCTAGTAAAGTAAGTTCCTTGGTGTAAATGATCCCTGATAGAAAATTTAATTTACTGAATGTAAACATCTAAGCTCAATTTCTTCTAAGTGATCAGTTATTTCTGGATTTTATTTTGAGAGAGGGCCTTAAAGTCATTCATCAAGTTGTCTAGGCTGGACTTAAATTTGCAGTTCTCCTGCCTCAGGTTCTCAAGAGTGCTGGGATTACAGATTGTGTGCCACCACACCGGCTTTACGGGATTAGTATTTTGTACACTGTCACTATTTTAGGTTATATTTTATAAAGATACCGTTACAGTTGTATTTTTTGTTTTGTTTTGTGGTGTTGAAGACTGCAAGTAGTGTATATTTATGCTAAGCACACACTTTAAACCTCTATGCTACACTCTAGGCCAACAGGCTGGATTAAAGAAATTTTTTTTTCAAATATAAAAACAGAAATATTACTAGAAACAATTACATTTTCTCCTACATAGTATTTGTTTATTTTCTGGGATTTGTGTCAGATTTTGTATTTATTTACTTCCATTTAAAAACTAAAATAGACTGAATAAAGAATTCACAACTCAATACTTCCTGTGCATCGTACCTGGTGATTTAAGGAAAAATATAAAAATCTGCCTTCTCAATGTTCTATGTTACTTATACACGCTAACAACGATTAGGACTCACAACTAAAATCTGAGATCAAGTAAGTTCCTCAAAGCCACGTTTTCAGTACTATTTATTTTTTTTACATCACAGCCATTCTGAAGTGACTAGCTACTGAAATGGAAGTGGGTTTATTCCATTCATTCAGTATACAATGCCCTTTACTGCTCTGAGAAGGGACTATAGAAGGACTGAGACTCTGCAGCAACAGTAAGCAGCTAACAGAATGGATGGACTTCTTATTTTATGTTATGCAAGGGAATGCAAAGCATCTGATAAGAGAAGTTGGTCAGTGAGCGAAAAGACTTGATTAAGGGAGTACAGTCCATGGGAAGAGCACTTGCCTAGCAAAGTGAGGGTTTGAGTCTGATGCAGGGGAAGGGGAGAGAGATTGAAAAGCTGGAAAAAGAAATACGGAACTGGGGACTAGAGAGTAACCTAGAGTTTAGAAAACCACTGCTACCATTGCCTAGACCCTTTGGACTGCTAGATGCCTTCTAGAAATCTAGCTAGAAGTTCCTCACTTCACTTCCGAGGATCAGATAATAGCAGTAAGTAATTTTTTAGGAATGCCGCCATTAGCTGGGGATTTAACTCGGCACCATTTAGTATGAGTTCAATCCCCAATATAAAAAAAGGAACACCACTATCCAAAATTCAGTACTTTAGCAATAAAATATTCTCCTGAGGCACTCCACACAAAGTAAAAACAGGAACTTACTTTTCGAAGGATATCTTCAGCTAGTGTGAGAAACGCCTTTTCAATGTTTATATTTGCTTTTGCACTAGTCTCAAAAAATCTAATACCATGCTCCTTTGCAATCTAGAATAGAAGCAAAATGACACAAAATTATCAAATATGAGTTTGCCAACTACAGACTGTAACATCTTAGAGGAAATATTTAAGTTCATTTCAGAAATTCTAAACCAGGATTTTTATTCAAGGGGCAAACTTAAATGAGCACAATGTGAACTGTATCATTTCTATTTGTCATAGGCTTCTGATTACTGTACTAGGTGATGTGTTTCTTTAAAATCCTAAGATAAAAAAAAAAAAAAAAAAAAAGAGCTGAGTGTGATGGTGCAGGTCCACAATCCCAGCACTGGGTAGGTTTGGCAGAAGAATCAAGAGTCCAAGGCTAGGTGGGCAACATAGCAAGTGCAAGGATGGATGGCGCCAAACAGGCAAGACCTTATCTCAACCTAAACATCAGAAGACTCACTAATTTTTAGTGTCCCTCGCAGCACCTTAAATACAACTAAAAATACCACGGCTGCAGATTTGGTTCTTGTGGCCACTGAGACTGAACTGCGCGCTTCACAAGATGAGAAAGCGTGCTCCTAGGTGTGTCTGAGAGGCTCAGTGAGTCCAGCCTTGGGTAGTATGCAAGGTCCCTTGCCCACTGCTCTCTGGTACTGTTGCTAGCCACCAAGACTAAACCCCATGCTTTACCACACCCTTCTGTCATGATGTTTCTGCCTAGAAGCCAGGTGACCATGGACTGAATTTCTGTAAAATGTGCATCAAATTATACCACTCCTCCTTTAAGTTCAGGTGTTTGGTATCATGTCCAATGACAGAAAAGCTTATACAGTGCTCCCAGGTAAATTGGGTTTACTCTAAGAACATTCACTCAAATGGTAAATTATTGTTTCCAACAGGTATTTTAAAAACTACATGACAATGCCAGTATACTCCAGCACTACTATCAAAACAATGGAACAGCAGTAAATCTCAATAAAAAAGCAGTATAAACTTCCAAAGATTTTTATTACCTGTTCTCCTTTTCCTTTAGGTACAACTCTTTTATCATCCATATCACACTTGTTTCCTAGTAACATTCTTTCCACATCTTCATTGGCATGCTAAAATGGAATAAAATTTTATATATTACCATAAATTATAGCTTGATAGTCTCTAAATATGACTTTCTCAATTTCAGGTCATTTCTACAGCTGAAAAGTTTTAAAGCAATTATCCTAAAACTAGGCTCTCCTTAAAAGTCTACCCAAATTTTTGAACTACCCAGCAAGAGATAAAATTCCCAAGTCAAATTCATACCAGATACATTTTATTTCTCCCCTTAGAAGAAAACTGTCTACTTTTAAGATATATGCTGACCAAAAAAAGAAAATATAGGCAACAGGTCTGAAAATGAAATCCCTTATGCATCTCTAAATCCAAAAAGAATCTGACTTTGCATTTTACAGTATGTACTACCCTACAAAAGCTTAAATTAAAAATTTTATAGCTTTCCGTCTCAAATGCTACACTGCTAAATTACCAAGAGATCCACACAGAAAAATCAGTTCAAAACAAATGGCTTCCCATCATAAACCCAATGACATTTTTGGCTGAGTACAAAGATCGATCCTAAAATTCATAAAGGATTTAACAGGTCCCTCTAAATAGCCAAAAAATAGTAACACAGAATAATTTTTAAAATGTATAAAATTTTCTTTTTGGAGATGAGGTCTTGCTATATAGTTTAGGCTGACTTTGAACTCATTACATAGCCTAGGCTGACCTCAAACGTGTGGCAATCCTTTCAGCCTCCAAAGTGCTGAGATTATAGATGTGTGCCACTATGACTGGTTCCAAAATACAGTTAAGTTAAAAAAAAAAAAAAAAAAATTCCAGGGCTGGGGATCCAGCTTAGTGGTTGAACATATGCTTAGTTTGTGGGAGGCCTTGAATCTGATCACCAGCACAAAAATCAAGACAGAAATTCACAACTGCAAATCAAATTATGGTACTGGCATAATGACAGACCAATGGAATAGAAAGACCAGAAAGAAACCCTCCCATATATATGATCAAGAGCTGTTCAGCAAAGATGTTAACATTCAATTAATGAGGAAAAGACAGTCTTTTTTTAACAAATCACACTGAAAAGAACAGTTGTTTGCATTGACAAAAAAATTTTTAAAAAATGGATCCTTACTTTACCCTATGTACAAAACTTTAAATGGCCTAAAACTATAACACTTTTGAAAATAAATGGGGTAAAAAAAAAAAAAGAAAAGAAATGGGGTGAGGGACAGTTGTTCACAACAATGACTTTGACAACAATGAATATGATACCACAAGGAAGGACAGTAAATAAGTAGGTGTGCTGGTGTATGCCTATAGTTTCACTCAGCACATTGGAGGCTGAGGCAGAAGGATGGTGAGCTCAAGGCCAGCCTGGACTATATATATAGCAAGCTCACAGCTAACCTTGACTACAAAGTGAGATCCTGTTTCAGAAGAAGTAAAGCAAATAAAGGGAAATATTTTAAACTTCATTAAACTTTAAAATGCCTGTGTATCAAAGTATACTATCAATAAAGTAAAAAGGCAACCTATGAAATAAAAACATTTGTAAATCATATATAAGGGATTAACATCTACAATATCTAAAGAACTCCTCAAACTCAAGAAAAAAAATTTAAAATGAGCAAACAGACATTTCTACAATGAACAGTAAACACATGAAAAAATGTTCATAATCTTTAGGGAAATGGAAATCAAAATCACAATGAGATACCACTTTATACTTGTAAGGATGGCCATTAAAAAAAGAAGGGAATAAAAGCAGAAAACACTATTAAAAAGAAGCTACATGTTGGCAGGGATGTAGAAAAATTAAAAATCCATGTGAACCATTGATGGGAACATAAAATGGTACAGTAACTAGGAAAGTCTGGCAGTTCCTCAAAAGCTTAAACACAGAATTAGGAAATGACCCAACAGTTCTACTTCTAGGTACATAATGAGAAGAATTTAAAGCAAGGACTCAAATACATGTACATCAATGTTTACTGCAACATTATTCACCACAGGGTGGAAACAAGACAACTGCCCAAAGATAAATGGGTAACAAAACATGATATATACACAAAATATTATTATTCACCCTTAAAAGGAAGGAGATTCTGACATGTTACAATACAGATGAACCTTGAAGACTTCATGGTAAAGGAAGTAAGTCACAAAAGAACAAACTGTATAAGGCACCTACAGAATAGTCAAAAGATTCACAGAGATGGAAAACGAAATGGGAGTTACCAAGGGCTAAGAGAAAGGGGGAAATAAACAGTTACTGTTTAATGGACACTGAGGTTCAGTTTAGGAAGTTGAGAAAGTTCCAGAGAAGGATGGGGTGATAGTTGTAGTAACAGTAGAATGCACTTAATGTCCCTGGACGGCATACCTAAGGGTTCAAATTACATTATAAAACATGCTCATGACCTAAAATAATGTAGTTACGAAGGAGTGTTGGGGCACACTAATTCCAGGTCTTCCGGAGGCTAAGGTAGAAGGATTATAAAGCCTTTGGGAAATTTAGTGTGGCCCTGTTTCAAAATAAAATTCTCCAAAGTACAAGGGCTGGGCTGCGGATTTAGTTCAGTGGCACAGCACGTACTTGCCAAGTGTGAGGTCCTGAGTTCAATTCCCCAGTCCCCAACCACCCAAAAAAAGTGCTAGAGCTATAGCCCAGTGCATGTTAGCCCATCTGCCTAACATGTACAAGGTGCTGGATTTTATAAACACTACCGTGAAAGATACAAACATCTGAGAGACAGCAGAAATGGCAAGGTAAGGGAGGGTACTTTTTATGTGTGAGCATAAGATAAACCAGCTGAACCACAAGCTTAGAAGAGAAATGATACAAAATATTATAAAGACTCCCTGTCTTAAGGATTGTACAGACCTTTTTGAATTTAGGGCCTCCTAATTTATGTTACTAAGACAAAGAGAACTTGGCAAATATTCAATAATTGTTAGCAATATACCAGGTGCTCCTAATACTACTATGAAATGTGCTAAGAGTCAATGAGAAGCATTCTCGACTTGGAATTTATGGGTGGACTTCAGGGGCTTCAAGAATTGTAAGTAAATCCAGGTGTGGTATGGTGGTGTGCATCTGTAATCCCAGAGCTCTGAGTTGAGGCAGCAGGAATACAAGTTCGAATCCAGCCTGGGCAACTCAGAACATAGGTGACACCCTGTCTTCAAAATAAATAAAACAGGGCTAGGGATGTAGCTCGCAGCTCACTACAAGGCCCTGACTTCAGTCCCTAGTGTAGCCAACAAATAAAACTAGCCTGGTAACATTCTAAATTCTGTAAGGAACCCATGACTCCAAAATAAAAAGTACAGAAGCAGAGATTACAAACAGCAGAGTAGACTGCACCACAACAAGACACTGCTCTCCATGACGTGCAATCAAGACACCTGGGTGAAGAGAAAAAAGCAGATTTCTGGGAATCGGAAGCAGCCGACTAGAAACTAGAAACTACAGAGAAGGCAGAGAAACGGAGCACAGAGCGGAGGAAAGGAGGAAGCAGTGTGGAAAGCTCATCCAGCTCCTGGGGAGGGTCGGCAACTCCAGGGACAAAGATTGGACCACAGTGCTAGCCCCCAGAAAAGCCTGTAGTTACTGTGAACTGCAAAAACAGTATGCGTTTTTTCTTTTTTTATCAATTTATTTTTTATTTTAAAGAAGGCAAAATCAAACACAACAAAACAGAAAATAGGACTTAAGAAAGCAATGTAAAAGATATAAATTTCAAAGCTAGAAGACCCAAGCTCTTCATTATCTATCATATCGTCTCTTGCTTTCTTCCAAATAGTTGTCCACGTCTTCGCATACAAAGAATTCATACAACATAGTATAAAACTGATCAACCAGAATGAGGAAGGCATTTTAGTTCTTCAGAACCAGACAATAAGGAAGTCACTAATGGCTGTCGTAGTCTCTCGTTCTCCTCAAAATAGCTGTCATATATATGAACTTTCATGTACATGAAAGTGAGTAAGTTTCATGTATATGAACTTCAGTTCATCAAAACAAAACTGGCTACAGTAACACCATTAATCAGAACAAAGCAAAACAATGATAAAAGTATATGCCTTCAAAGAGATGATAGAAGGAAATCCTATCTGCTACACTGCCTATGGTCAACCTCTTAGGGGATATCCATCCAGATCACTGGCTCCCACTTGCTAAAGTGGCTCCCACGCGCAGGCAGCCATGGGGGGACTAGGGCGTAGGTGGGTTGCTTGGTTTCCAGGCGCTCCAGATCCCAGCATGGCATGGGTCCCAGTAAATGCCCCACTTTTTTTATTCTCAAAGTGACTACTTCCACACAGCAGGCTAGACTTGAAGAAATACAATAAAGAACCTACTATTTTTGACAGGGTTTAATCACAAGCCATTTGCGAAGGAGTTAATTGTTTAAGATTGAACTACAGAATGACTAGTTGTACTTCAGGGTTTCTGGGATCACCCTATCACAGTGACTGGTAGAAGATGACAAGACACAATCTCAGAGAAGACAAGGCCTATACATAGGACCACCTCTCTCACCTCCCCAAGAAGTTTCAGGTCTCAAAAGACATATGGGCCCTGCCATGGTGAGAAACTTAGCCGGCTGTATGTGGACTGCAGAGTGCTGGCATCAAATCCATCTGTTTACTTGAGCCCCCATCCCACTGCCTACATATATGACAAAATACAGTAGTCTCCTTGTTTTCCCAATCTACCAGCACAAGCAAGATGTACCTCAGCTTGGACTGTGGCCACAGGTTGGGGTACAGAAAGAGGGGCCTCCAGAGGCGGAGGGGCAGCATGCCACACAAACTCGCAAGTTGTAAAGCTAGGTGGGGAAAGCCAGATTTTGGGTGCACAGAGGGACACAGAAACTGGGAGCTGCCACAGTGATGGCACACAACTGGCCAACCACACTCAGCAGGAAAGATGAGACAGAATTCAGCACCTACACACAGAAATGTGAATGTAAAGACAAAACAGATCTTAGTCGCACTGACTCACTCTCCCTCCCTGATAGCTAATGCTGCAGACCCTGAAAAGAAACCA